CAAGGCTTGATGTCTTCAAGGGTGTAGCCAGTTACTTTGCACAGGGATTCAGGCTGAGAGGAAAAATGAAAGGGTGAGGGACATTTGAATGCTGCTGTTCACTTATGCTGATCACCAGTGGTAGAGTTTTTAGCTTCCTGTTGAACCATATTTATCTCATCCCCCCATCCCATTTTTCAAATGCCACAGGGGAGCAATCCCTAATTAACACCTAGGAGCACAGAGGGGCTGCAACTCCTGCAGCCCAGGCCCAGCACTCAGAACTGTGTACAAGTACACTGAACACACACAGAGGCTCTCGAAGGCTCAGGCTGGAGTGCTACATACCCAGGTTTGTCCAGTGAGTGTGTAATCTGCCAGATGAAATGCTGCAGCAGCAATAACTGATGGCAAGTATTTCAGGTAAGGATCAGCATCAATTAGACTCAGCTCTCCCAGGTACTGCAAGGGAAATGAAAAAGGGAATCATCTGCTTCCAAAAGTTAACAGTTGCTTTAGAACCCTAACTTGAGCTTCCAATCCTGCCATCAGTTGGAAGCACAGCTTTTATCAGTTTCCACTTACTTCCTCCTTAAGCATCTCCTGCTAGCTACTGTCAAGCAGCATTCCCAACACATGCTTTCCTAGCATATTTTATATTTACAAACACATAAGAAATAGAGGGAAGGCTGCAGTCAAATCTGACCTTTGCACAGTGAGACAAAGGCTTGTGTTTAGGACCTCTGGTACCTAGCATACAGCTAGGATTTACTATAACTTCAGATGAAATGTTATCTGTGCTCTGCTCTAGAAATTAGCCTCTGGATTTAGAGCTTGCTGCTGGTTGAGGAGAAAACCAAACCTAAAGTCCTTTTTTGCCAAAGTGCATGTGGGGGTAGGTGTGGCAGGTGTAGATAAGAGAGAGGGAAACATCTATCTAGCAGTGCAACAAGCCCCAATTTCAAGTTCATTAATCTCTGCCTGCTCTGAGTAAGGGTGCATGCTTGAGCCAGGCCAAGTGCCAGCCTCTGATAAGAATGGAGCATCCGAAACAGAAAGTGGCAATAGGAGTGTTAGTTCCCAGCAGTGGGACACCACTCCTGGAGGAGCACAATTCATAAGGTGTATATATGTTATACATACCTGTGCAATAAGTATCTGCAATAAAACTTTCTAATTACATAAGCTCAGCTAGTAATTCCTACTTACCATTGACAGGCTCTCCACTTTAGCATCTGTCTGCTGGTGTAGGAAGTACTGGGTGAGGAACTGGTTGATTGTTGGAGCTGCCAAGTCAAATGACAAAACCTTCAGAATTAAGTGCTCCATCTTTAGGACCTGCTTCTTGGTGTAGGTGTCATCTGTGATGTAGACAAACTCAGCTACTTCGGGAGGGTAGATCTCTTCAAACTTTCTGCCAGGAGAAACGTTTATGAGTAAACAATTGAGTACTAGAAAACCACCAGCACTTAATGAAACGCTCATTTAAATTCTGACTTGGCAAGGACCTGGGCACTGGTGCCAAACAAGTTTGCTGCAGTTGGTTCTGTAGCTCTTGAATCGCCAGGATTTGAAATTAGAGAGCTACAACAGTATGATAATTCATGACTAAGGAATGTAGTACTTGGAGCCACTGAAACTCCAGAACAGACCACTGAATTAGCAACTAGGGCAAGCACAACTTGCTTTTCACATGCCTTATGTATATTGCCTCAAATACTGTTTTAGATGCTGGCTGCTATAGCTGGAAATAACAGACCCTTATTTTAGGGGCAAACTTCAAAGATAACTGCCAAGCTTTTAGGTGGATAACTTCTGATTTTTATCCTAGTGTGAAGCCCTCCCAAATCAGTCCTGCTGTAGGCAACAGAACAGCCACAAGACTTTCATCAGTAGGTAGAACCTGAAATGAAGCAATTTCACTTACGATGCAAGCAGCATAGCTGCAGTACCCACAAGCTGAAGTTTTCCTCTCAAAACAGACATGGAAGAAAGAAACCTATCAATGTAATTTACAGCTAAGTGCAGGGTTTCGTTCTGTAATTTGTATTCTTCTCCGACTTCCACCAGCCAGTCCACCAGAATAGCCCGCATGTTGTTTGTGATATCAGGTTGCTTCTTCATGTAACCTATTTTGGGCTTGCACTTCACCTGTAGGTTTAGATGACAGATAAAGTTGAGGATGGACCCTGTGCTGGTAAGGAAGCAGCTGTTTAAACTCCATTTATCACAGTTTAACAAATCAGAAGTAAACACTGGTGAGTTTAGGATCAGTAAGTTCTATTTCTGTAATCTTGCTTTCCAGCTTGAGCATGGCACAATAAACTTTATCACTAGGAACCAGTCCCGTGCTCTTATTTCTCCCTTTCTAGCAAGCTCTAATTTAGTCACTGTCTTGGTAACTCATGTTCAGACACATTTCTCCACCCCAAACTCTTCCCCCATGGGCTGCATGCAAATAAGAAAAGGGACAGCAGCTCACCTCCATCTCCCTCAGGTACGTATGGATTTCATTGATATAGTCTGGCACGTTATTAACGTTTGGTGCTTTCTCTTCTGTTTCTGAGGTTATTGAAATATCCATAATACTTGGAGAATCTAAGCAGAGGATAACAGCCATGTTAAAATGGGCACCATCACATCATTTCCTCACAGCACAGGGAACCTTGTGCAGGCTCACTCAGCTGGACTGGGAGTTGGGGAGACTCTATGGAAGTGAAATATTAGGGCAACAGGGAAGTTTCCCCTTCCCCTTTCTCCTCTTCCCGCTAAGAAGAAAGAGATGGAAAACTCTCTTGCAATTATGTAGTGCTCAGTGCACCCTGTGTTACCTTGTAACAAAGATGTGGATCCTGTAAGCGTAGATTGTGGTTTACAACAGGGCAGGGGTGCTGGAGGTTTTTTGTAGATGGCAGAAGCGGATCACAGAAAAATGAGCCCCCAGATATTCAGACATGTGCTACAGAAGATGGATCTGGCAGTTCCCATTTTTCACATACTGGCAAGAGCACAAAACACTTGCACCACTGCCTGGGGGAAAAACCTTTTACATCTTGGGATCTGCCTGGGTGAAGTCCCCTTCTAACTCTGTAATGGTGGCAAGGCTTTATGGATTGATCTTGTCTGTAATCTGGCTTCTCTCATGAGGTACTGAGAGCTAAAGTTATAAATTATAAAACGGCCTAAAATAGCATGGGATAAGAACACAGAGGCTCAGCTGCACAGAAGAGCTGTTGCATCCTGGTGGCAGGCTCAAAGGAGCCAAACCAGCCTGCATCCCAAGCCACAGCCCTCCAGCTTTCCTTCCCCTCTGGAAACCATTCCCTGGCTGAGGAGCTCCGCGGGGCAGGGCCCTGAGGGGGAGCAGGTGGGACGCGGCCTGCATGGCGCACCGGGGCCGGGCTCTCACGTACCGAAGCTCAGCTCCATGGCGTTGCCCAGGGGAGCCAGGGGCCGCCGCTCCCCCAGGACACACACGGCCGCACGCAGCCCCAGCGCCGCCTCCTCCTTCTGCCCCGCCGGGACGCCCCGCTGCCGCCGCGGCTCCCGCTCCCCATCGGGCTCGTCCACATGGATGGAGAAGGGCTGATGTTGGTGCTGCTGCAGCCCCGCCGCCGCTCCATGGCCCTCGCAGCCGCCCCGCGCCGCCTGTGGGGAGAGCGGCCGTCAGCGCCCGGCCCTGACAGCTCCCGCCGCTGTCCCTTCCACGTCCCCCCGCTCCCGCCGCTCCCCCCTCACCTGCAGCGGGATCCCGGCGCGCTGCTGCACTCCCCGCAGCAGCCCCAGCGCCACGCGGGTGCCGGCGGCGGGCGGCGCCGCCGCGGCTTTGCCGGCCGCCGGCGGGGGCACGTTCTCCTGGTTCTCCTGCTCCGCCAGCATGGCCGCAGCAGGAGCGGGGGGCAGCGCGGCGGAGGGGACGGCGGGGCCGGAGCGGCGGGGCCGGGGACAGGCGCGCCTGGAGCCGCCCGCGCCGTTCAAGTAGCCCGCGACTCTTGAACCGCCCAATGGGCGCGCGCGGCGTCACGGCCGCGCCGGATGGGGCGGACAGAGGGACGGACAGACAGACACGGGCGGACACCGAGGGCGGGGAGCCCACGGGGAGAGAGCGCCGGGGACAGCAGGCCCCGCGCCCGCCCAAGGGAGGGAGAGAAGAGCCTCGGGCGCTCCCGCCGGGAAACGTGTGTGGGAAACGAGCTGGAGCTTGCCCAGCCAGGCTCGTGAACGTGTCCCGGGAGAAAAGGAGGCTGGGGAGGGAGGCCTCATCACTCCCTCCAGCTCTCTGAAAGGAGGGGGTAGTGAGGTGCCCGCAGCGAGGGGACAAGAGGAAATGGCCTCGGGCTGAGTCCATAATAATCTTTCGATTATCAAAGAGTCGCAGAGCACAAAGGTACTCGTGTTCTAACCACCCTGCTCTGGGCAGGGACACCTTTCATTAGACCACACTGCTCAGAGACCCATCCAACTTGGTCTTGAACGCTTCCAGGGCTGGGGTATCCATAGTTTCTCCAGGCAACGTGTGCCAGGCCCCCCCCACCCTCAGATGAGGCAATGAGGAAAAAAATTACCACTGTTAGGGTAAGTCACCATCCCTGGAGGGGTTTAAGAGGTGTCTGGATATGGTGCTGGAGGATGTGGTTTAGGGGTTTCAGTGATAATGACAAGTTGATGGTTGGACTTGATGATCTCAAAGGTCTCTTCCACCCTTGATGATTCTACCTCACTTCAATGGCGTTGATCTTTTTTACTTGCTAACAGATCTCTGTCTCCACTGGCTGCTTATCTCTTTTCATTTTAAATAAGACTAAGTGAGAAAGTAGGTGGAGTTTGGAAATGAAGCACAGGGAGGCTGGAGAAGCACTGAGGAAGTTTAATGCCATCCATTCCTAAACAAATGTGGCTTTAAATGGAGCTGTCATCAGTCTAACATTCAGAGTTCTCCCCCCTCTGCACACACCAGCTACATCAAGTCTGGTGAGATTCTGACACCACATTCTCAACACAACAGGAAAAACTAAGTTAGGTACAGCTTAAACACACAGATTTATTCCAAATCCATCCAAGTTTCTTGAAACCAGTTTCTTCATCCATTCCTGCAGCTGGGAGGACAGGCTTAAACAGTCGTGAAAACATTTTTCCCAAAAGGATCTTTGGTATTTACATCTGATCTTTCTTGACCTATTAGCACTGTACATAAAACCTCTGCACACAGTTAACATACACAACACTTTATATGAAGTTTCCTACTGTATCCAATATGATAATAAATATGAATAAAACCTAAGAGCTGACAAGACAACAAAAGAGTAAAAGTGTTTTTGACTTGATACCAAAATGCCTTGGTTAAAACCAGAAAAATTACTCTGGTTTTTCCTTGTCAGGCAGCATCAAAAAAAGCGATCAATCCATCTTGATCACAGCCATCCAGAATTTCCAGAAGGAGAGGAACTTTGGTTTTCACATTGGTGCCTTTAAATTTAAATTTATCTATGAAGAGATCTGTGATCATACCTGTAAAGATAAAATTCCAGGAATTACTATTTATTTTCAGTAGGAGGTATGCCTACTTTTAATTCATGATTATGTACCAAGTATTCTAGTGATTAGAAGAGTTTTTCAAGTTCATGTTTTAAACAATGGTTTAATTGTAAACAAATCCAAGCCACTTAACTTTAATACATTCTTAAGTGCCATCCTGAATTTGAACACAATCTTTAACCATGTCCACAAAGACAAGAATCGTCTGAATATAAGCAGCTGTCTATTTCAGCCATGTCTCTGGACATTAAGCTCCATTTAAATAAAGCTGAATTGTCAACAAACCATAAAGTCTCTCAAGATGTGCAGGTTGTCTCTTGTATTCCTCCAGCAGCTGATCTGCCTCTTCCAAAATGCTGCGGTATTTTGGGAGCAGGAAGTCCACGTTGCCTTCATGAACTTGTAATTCCTCGAAGACAGTTTAAAATGGTAAGAGCTAACAGCAGGTAAGTATCATAAGAGCAGGTAAGTAAGAAGAAATTAAGCTTAGATATGTCAGAAGGAAGTACTTCAAAGGCAAGACAATCCCCTTCTAAACGAGCAAGTGTTATTTTCACAGTCCCTCATTTTCTAGGCTTCTAATGAAATGCCAGATGTCCCTTCATAGACTGGATTCTCAAAATCCTGCTTATTTCAGCTTCCAGCTCTGAGCAGAACAGGATCACACCATGCAGACTTAAGCCTTGACCATACCTTCATTTTTAGAATAAGTGAATTCCTAAAGAAGTGTAGCACTCAGTGAAGTCTGAAGGTAAAAGTAAACTCTGAAAGTATCGCTAAATTTGTGACAGCAAAAAGTTTTGAATGCCTCTTCTAAAAAACCTCAGTCTATCAGCAGACCAATTTGGGATGGTTGATAGTACAGATCTTTTTATCCTCCAGAGAAATGTATTTCTGTTCTAGACAAGAGGTAATTATGTTGTGCACTGAGTCTGCTGGGATACCACCTTTTATCAATCTTTAGATTATTTTACTACCTGTCAATAAGTTACCATCCAAAAAATGAGTGACCAAAAAATTTGTCAAAGATTTGCTGTCTAAAACTAGCAACGTGTACAACACCATTATTATTGCACAAAGGCAATGTGCATTAAGAATTCATTCTCTATTATTGTTTAAATCCCTGGTTTGCCCAAAAAATATTGTTTAAATCCCAAAACTAGCCCAAGTAAAATCTTTTTAGTGATTGACACTGTTCTCACTTTAGCCAGCTTTTCTACTATCTGAAAAGCTCTGACAAACATTTGATTCCCCCAAAAGGATGACAGAACTGGTTGAACATTTTCACCTCCATTCCCATTAAATTAAAAAAAAAAAACCCAAAACAGCTCATGATGGTGAGCTTTTGACAGGAAAATCCTGGTTGTTGGAAAAAAATTCTAAGAACTGAGATGAGCTGCCTAACTGGAACCTCCCAAAGGCTACTGAGGAAGGTATTAAGGAAAAGATTCAAAAGCAGTTGATTTAGAAATTATGAGACACTGGGATGAAGTTCCAAAGCAAAGAAGTTGCATCTGGCCTGGATGACCTAAAAAACTATAAATGTTAGTGGGAAGAGGGACAGAAGCAGCTGGACAATAACAGCAGGCTAGGAGAGAATATTAGATGATAAATCTGGCTGCCCTTCTACCATCCAATTTAGGCATGTTCAGTAACCCTACATGTTATTCACTAGTTATACAGCAAAAAAGAGAATTTTCCTTGAAGAAATTTGCCTCTTAGACACTTAAAATACATGCTTTAATTGAATTTAATTTAAGGGAACAGACCCCACATGACACACACCTGACTTGAGCCATGGTTTAGTATCTGACAGCATAAGCCCCCATAAAAACCAAACCCCAAGAGTTCAGATACTTACTCTCAAAGCATCTATTAAGTGCACCTTCTTGGCCAGCAGCTGCTGGTACTCTAATTTAGGGTGGATAAGCTTTAATGTGTGCCTCACAGATTCTTCATTTACATCTAGCAGGGAGTAAAAAAGAACCCAAACAAGCAAATGAATACTGCATATTCCATTTATGGGAATAACAAATGAACTGAAGGATAACAAAACAGAGAAGAATTTTTACCATATGATATGTTGAGATTAATCTTCCTTTTAGTAGCCTCTTTGGAAAGCACATCTTTGAGGATGGATATTGTAGAGATGTTGTCAGATTTAAAATATGCCTCACCTTTTCTATAAAAGAAGAACAATTTTAAATAAACTTGAATACACATGGCATGCATTAGGTTTAGTAATTGTATTTTACCTGTAGGTACTTTCAAGCTGTGTTCCCAGGAAAGTGTTCTGAAAATAAAAGGTGATGCACTCTCCAGCAGGAGTCTTTTCAGGCACCTCAGGCAAGCAAAACACAACCCAGGAGTGAATTTCAGCAAAACTGAACTGGCCTTTGAGCATCAGTGTATTCATGGGCCTGCGGCATTGTGAAATTAAAAGAGAAAAAGGACAGTCAGTAGTTAAGAAGGAGGAGTTAAGAGGTTTTTACACTGTCCATGTAAAAAAAAATTTAGTTCCACATGGTGGTTTCCTTTTAATCAGCACCCTGTAAAAAAATCAGGTCTCTCCCTAAGTACAGATACATATTGTAGATTACAGCTATTTTTCTGTACTTCAAAATGCAGAGCTACATGCATATTCAAGTTTTACCTCCCACTAGGCATGTCAGATCTAGGGAAAAAAAACAAGCTGGAAGTTTTTGATGTCCCATTGCAAGTTGTTAAACCTGAAATTTAGGACAAAGGTAAATAACTGACAAGAGCAAATATGACTAAGACAGAGCCTCAAGAACCTCCCATGCTGTAAACCCTCGATGCAGCATTTTTATCAAGCACAAGGCATAGTGGAGCTCATTTGCACACTGAAGGCTTTGGTAGCCTCCCTTCCATCTTTCAGTTTTGATCTGAACAGGCAGATCCTTGGAGGCAATACGAGATGTTAGTGAGGTGGGCAAAAATCCATCAGAAATTGTGTAAAATACAAAACTCCTGTAACAGAGAGATAACGGTAAAATGTCTTGGCTCAGTTTTGGGGCCAAGTTACCTGTGAGAAAAAAAAATAGAGGAAAAGGGTGGAGCAGAGAATGAGGCTGAAACTGAAAAGACACAGTTACTTAGAGAAGAAAGTTTCCTTTCTACCACACCCTCAGCTCTACTAACACATAGGGCTGAACTATAACCTAGGGCAGTAAAATGAAAAATAGCCCCAAAACAAGAGCAGCAAGGAAAACATTTAATCCATATTTTCTACTAGGAAATCCATAAAATGGAGCTACAGGCTCAAAAGTGTAGGTTAGGGGTTAGAAATTCCATACGTAAGTGTACCGAGCAAATGTTTCAGCTGCCTTGTGTCACTTTTTCCAAGTGAAAAAAGGCATTGATTTTTCTTTGCACATACCTGTCCTGGTCAATAGAATGAGTTCTCTGGTGAAGTGAAAGTGGCTTAATTTGATATTGAAGAACTTGACAGGTTTTTGGTTGGATTCTGGGAGTTATGTACGCTTGAAGTGTCCCATACTGTCCTTCAATCGAGCGAACCTGCAGAGAGGAAAGAAGAACCCACAGAGAAGAAGAAAAGGAAAAAGATTATTTTACCACTGTTTGGAAATTTAGTGAATATTCAAAGTATGTTAAAGAAAACCTCTAGTATTTCAAGAATATTTATAGTACTACATTTACTTGATAGTGCCACTATAAATAAAGCAGATGAGTTTTTGAACTAAATGGAGCATAGTCCAGTGAAGTGCTGCTGTACTAGCTGAATTAAATATTAATAAAATAACACCCTCTAACTCATCTTCTGATCAGTTAAAATAAAAAGCCTCAAAAATTGACAGTTTTATGTAAACACATATCAGATAAGGAGGCTGCAGTAAAAAGAGAAAACCTCATGCCTGTGGGCATGGTGAGGATTTTCCTAATCAGGATTTCCTTCATTATTTCCTGTGCTGGTTGCCATAAAATGTGTGAATTTGGTTGATCCTTAAAAATAAATTCCAAAACACCCACATGCCTTTAAGTATAATAAGCATGGAATTACAGGATTTGCTTCCTCTCCAAAATACAAATTGAGCCTATATTCCCTTGTTAGTTCCCAATGTAACTTCCTTCAAACACTTCAGAGAACAAAAAGTGCCAGAGCTTTCTTTCCCACACCTCCCTCAACTTGAAGTTCCACAACTGCCTTCAGAATCCTGTATTTTCCCAATCTGTGGTGTCCCCACTGCTTTCATCCTAGGGACACAAAGAGATCCCAGGCTCTCCTCTGACATATATTTAGAAGCCCTTAGAAATCCTAAAGACAAATAAAAACGAACACACAAGCCCCAGGTTAGAAGGTCTCAGAAAATAAACAGCAGTAGAAATTGGACTGATCCGCGTAGAGAATTCTTCATTCCAAAGCAGGACTAACCATTAATTTTATGGAACACATTTTTGAGCATTTTACCTTAAGTTCAAGTCTTGTAGTATTTGCTTGGCATCTGTAAGTTGCAAGAAGAAAGTTGCTATTTGGCTGAAAAAAGGAAAAAAAAAAAACTAAATAGGAAAATAATGCAAAATAGGTCTGTGGATTCACAAAATTTCTACTGGTCTAACTGTAGCTATGTTACAGTGAAGTTTTTGCAATGCATGTACAGATATTTATAAGAGTTAAACACAAAAAGGCAATCCTTGGGTCCCCTGAATGTTTTATATTTATGATAGAGTTAGTTTTAATTATGATAGAATTAAAAAAAACTAAAAATCTTTCTATAAGGAAAATACAACCAAAGCCGCTTACACTCTTTATTATCTCTACAAAGATTACATAGATACCTACTTTTCATCTGAAAAATGCATGTCAGCCTGCCCCACTCATCTGCAAAATTAGTTCAACATTCAAAAACTAAAGCAGGATCAGTAAGAAAATACACCCCAACAAGCAGTAAGTTAATCATCACAAATCATACAAAACCTAAAATAAAAAGCTGATTTCTGGGAGCTCCAGGGCAGAACAATGATGTGCAAATTCAGTTCTTAAAACTAAAATAAAGAACTGTTAGAAGGGAGAAGATTGTACGGAAGATTTTCATAAATCCTAAGGTCGTTTCAGGATTTTCTCCCTGACCCTCAGTGTCAATAGTAATTCTGTAACTATTTAAGTCTGTACTAATTACATATAAAAAAAGTCATGCAAACATTTGACTCCCCACAGAGCAGAATTGTCACATTCTAAACATATTTTTTAGAAATTAACTAAGTAAGAAACATAACACTCTTCAACTAAATTACTTGGAGCTAAAGGTGTATCAATCTGTGGAATCCAGAGAAGAGAGCAATACTGAATGTGTCTCTAGGAATCCTCCTCAGGAACAAAAAAAACAAAAAAAAAAAGAAGAGAGCAGGTTTGCCTTAAGTCAGGACCTGCCTTTAACTCCTAATTCTGCAGTATCTCTAAAGAAGCTGTGCCCTCCACAATTACAACATGAGTAGTTAACTGAATGTATTTTAAATCAGAGATATATAAGTCCAAGTTCTATTTTTACTGCACAATATTAAGAGTTTCCATCACGCCACCTCTCCAGACATCACCTCCTCGGTTTCACTCACCTCAGAATCACAGCTGCTAAAACTAACAACGGCAGAATTTTTATCCACATCCAGCAAGTCCAGTGGGACATCACTCTGCAGAACACAGGAGGAAGGAAAAAGAAAGAGCTTACATTCCTGAGCAGCTTCAAGTGCATTTATCCTCTAACTGTCATCAAGCTTTGAAAGGAGAGAGAAGCAAGGAGACTGCTTCATCTCAGAGGCAAAAGCCTAACAGACATGCAGCTTACTACTTAATCCTGGAGTAACATGATGATCTTTCTGTTATTCCCTTCAGAGTCCTGAACTCCTGGGGGGCTGGTTTACCACAACCTCAGTGTAAAATCTGTAACTGTCTTTCAGTCATGAAAGGCAGATGAAACAATTTCATTATTTCTCATTTAGCTGTGGAAACATCTAATATTATACAGTGGCAAATTAGCTGTAGCTTAGCATTGCTCTGTAACATCCTTAATAAAAACAGGATTTTTATTAAGAAGTGAAAAATAAAATCCTACAATACTTCTTTCCCATTTGTTATAGAAAAACCACATCCTCTTTGTCACATTTTTCCTCCTTGTCACATTTTTCTCCTCATGCATTTCCCAAAATAAGGTAATTCAGTACTGCTACTCTTTCTGACTACCAAAGATGGCATTAATTTCAGCTGATACAGTAGGAGGAATAATTAATTAAGGTTGCTGTAATGGGCAGGACTATTTCTCCCCAAGTGCACACAAATCAGACGCTGTTCCACACTGGAAGTGAACAGGTGGCCCATAACATTCTGAAATTAATTTTCCACTACAGAGGGCACTTAACTGGCAAGTGAGGATGTGCACCTCATTTAATTGGTGTTTAAATAAGGATAAATACCATGCAAAAGCAAGCACAAAGCTACAAAGAAATCTTCTGTTACAGCAGCCACTTTGGTCTGTTCTGGTAATGTAAAGTTGCTCTGCTCAACACGAATTTTGTATTTGCTCCCTAACAAGCATGTCCTTAAGATGCTGTAACTTGGCTCTTTGAACTAGAAAGTCTCTGAGTGTTTTATTTATGCATCAAAAAACCCAACAAGAATCAAGCCCCACTGACCTGCACCAGGACATTATCTATGGCTGTCTGCACCTCCAAGACGAGGCTGTAGCTGGCATCATCCTTGTTCAGTGTGAACTTGTCATTGACACTGAAGGCAGGCACTGAGGAGACTGCAGTGCTGGAGTGAGAGGACTGCTGGTATTTCTCCCGTTCCTGAAGTACTTTTATCTGCAATTGTTCCAACTCATTCCTACAAAAGGGAAACCACTCATAAAGTCTTCAAAAAAGGCAACTATAGAGCTACCCTAGAAATTAAATAGTTTAAAGTTGCAAGGCAATCATGTTTATCTCCTGTCCTCAATTTTCCAGCCAGAAGTGACTGATGGTTCCTCTTTGATGTACTTAGCAAAGATAAAACATAAACTCTACCACGTGGACATGTGAATGTGACATGTTCCTTGCCAAGAGAGTTTTTGAGAAACAGGAAAGGAGAAACTCTTTCCTTCAAGAGTACAATGCATTTTGAATAATATGGTAGTGACTTCTTTCCTGCCATCATTTAGAAGCTATAGAGCAGCAAGGAAGAAAAGAGTCTTATCTTGCTGATACTGAGGCAGAAAGCATTCAGACATCATCATGTGAAGGCAAGATAGGAAAAGGCTGTGAAATGAGGCTGCTATTCATTTCTACTTTGAAAAGATTTGATTCTACTTCTAGATATATTAGTGATAAAGAAAATCCAGTGAGATAGGAAGGAGAGATGACATTTCAGCTTTTAACATTTCCATTCTTCCATTTAAATTTCTTTCTAGCACAATTACCTTAAGGATGAAATCTTGTTCTGCATTTCTTGACTTAATTTAAGTTCTTCACCTGATCCACCTTCTCTATGGACAGGTTCTGTAGTCAGTCCTGTCAGCCAGCCTAAACCAATATATGAAGTTTATATTCCTTATAAACTAAAAAGAAAATTCTACACTCTGCTATTTTATGTGTGGAGTGATGTTTGTTCCACACACTGGGTAGAGAGAATTGAGCCAAATTTAATCCTTTTTTGTAGGATTAATCCTAGACACTGAGCACCATTTCTTATGGGTTTCATGCCTAAATTAGAAAACATTACTTTTTTTTCGTTAAGTACTTTGAGCAATGAATTCCTTTAACAGTTTTTAACTGTTGGATTAATTTGTTGGAGCAGTTGGATTTTTTTCTGACAAAACCTTGAATTACTGAAAACAAAAGCTGTGCAATGTGTTTATAGCAAACTGAATGCTGCTCAGTGGGCTTAGAGGATGGATGCTGCTGCTTGAAAAAAGTTATACTTTTGCTTACTAAATTGCATTTATTTCTAAAAGCAAATAGTGATTGATTATCTTCTGATACCTCAAGCATGACATGCAGACATGAATAGGTGTTTATAGCTCTGGTTCCCTGCCAACACCAGTCTAGAGCACATCCTACCAGAATCCACCTTTGAAAGCCCACAGGGGAACATGGGCTTTCAATTTTTCCCTTCCTTCTATGATCCATGGATCTTTACAACATTCCCACTAAAAGAAGCCTCAAAGGGCTTAGGCTGCAACAGTACCAAGTACTGCCAATCACACCAAACCCCTTCATATGAGGTCAGGTGCAAGGGTCTTTTGACCACTCAAAAAACGTTTAGAAGAGGTACTTGGAACACCATTATTTCTCAGTAACTGACTGAGGATTGTATCTTGCCAAGTGACATGATTTTCGTTACAAGAAGTTTTAATAGGTTAACTTTTAGCACTTAAGGTAACTAAAGGGAGATAATTACCAATGTTTTAGCTCCCTGCAGCTGACATACACAGCATGTTTATCATGGCCTGTGTCACAGACAGGCCAATAGCTCAAGACTTGCAGAGGAGCTGCTGAGATGCCTCACATGGGATATATCTTTATTTCCTACTAAAATCAAAACCATTTAAAGCACTGTGAAGCTGAAAAGGAGAAATTACATAAAAGCAGAAAAATAAAATAAAACCATGCTTGTATATCAACATTTTTCATACATATTAAAAAGTCATAAATAATTCTTTCAGACATACTCATTAATTCATCATATTAAGGCAGCAGTTTACACCAAAATATAGTCAACCACTGTGTTAAACATGATGAATATCTTAAGATATAAAATCCCCACAGTTTAAGTATAGGCAACGTTTTTAAGTGTAAATATTAAATCAGAGGAGATCTTTTCAACACAAAATTTTAAGAGACGTGAGTTGCACTGAAAACATAACCTGCTTCATTTTATCACCTCGCCACACATGGCATTTACTGTGTCAATGATATGAAGCTTACCTGAGTATGTTGCTGCTAGAATTTCATCATAGCCATCTTTTCCCACACAGCCTCCCTGGATTGATGCAATGCTCTCTGATAAAGCCTTCAAATAAACACATTCAAGCAGAGGGAAATATCACTGCACTCATTTTAAAAGTTTTCACAAGATTCTACTCTATATAGCAAACACATTGAAAAGCTGAAAGCAAAACACTATTAATGTTTTTCCAGCAGAAATCAGCAATCTGACTGAAGTGGAATGGTCTCTCTGGATCCAATTACTAGTTCAAACAATTGATAACCAAAGTAATTATGGTCAGTGAAGCCCTGGCAGCTTCCATTTATTAACCTGTAAATCACAGACTATGCACAACACTCTCAGGTTTTTCACTCAGAGAGCAACTCTCTATTAGGTTTCACTCAGCAGTCAACTGAGCCAAAACTTGAACACACACTCTCTACATTATTTTGATTTTTGCTCAAATCAAAACTACTTCACTTTCTGGTTCTTACATGTTACCATACTGATTTGAAGTTCATATTGTCAACGTTACAAACCTCTTAAATTAAAACCAAACTACATATTTTAGCAGTAACAATCATCTATGTTTTGAAACACAGATTTTTAATTAAGGGTTTTTTTCCCAGCAGAGTATGAAGAATGAGGACTTACATAATCATATCGAAGGACAGGATCATCAGCACTCTCAAAGTTATAAATCTCTATCATTCCATCATCTCGTCCAACAAGTAATTCCTTAACTCCATCTCCCAGAATGTCAAAACTATCAATGCACAGAATACCTAATGAAGAAGAAAACAAAGCCATCTGCTTCATCTTTATTAGTTTATGATACAATAATACACAGGCCACACTCAGTAACAGAAAGAGAGTCCTAGCCAGCTTTTAAGGTGTTGATAATGAGATTTCTGGATCAGTCCTCAAGGCTGAAGTCCCTCTCCTGTACTTCAGGTTCAAGGTTCACTTTTTTGGCTCCATACTTTACAGAAAGACTAAGGACATTTTAAGAAAATAATGTGGTGATAACTATTATAATTAAATAAAAATGTATTTATACATTCCATTCCTGATCTTGTCCTTTACAAAGCAGTAGAGGCTAATAGATGTTCCAGAAGCAGCACACCAAGGCTAAAACTGGGAAAGTTTTGATCAGTTGTTGTGGAGACACATTCCACCTTCAGACAAAACCCTTTATTATGACTTTTTAGAGACCTTAAAACCACTGAACATATGACAGATGTATTTGCCAAATATACACACACTTAGAAATATAAAAATGAAAGACATCTCAATCAATTGTATTGGAATCAACACTGTTTTACAAATACCACTTTAAAAATAGTGTAAAAACAAAAGTTTGCTAGAATACTGGAAACGATATGAACCCAAAATCCAAAGCAAGAAAAACTGATCCAAATTATTTGCCAGAAAATCAGAAGAATTAAAGAGACCTTATCATAATAGTACCACATACTGACATAATCACAACATGCCTCCAAAATTATCTATGAAAAAGATCTCCTGATTACCCCACACTCAACAAAGCCTTAGGTATGCTGGAAAGCTAAAGAGTGAGAAATTGAGACACATCACATACCTCCTCTCTTCTTTTCATTTCCAATTTCCCACCTTGGTATTGCCTTGGTACCAGTAATCTGGGTGAGACCCAATTTCCCATCAGAAGTCCCATACACAATTTCCTCCCCAGAATCACCTGAACACAGAAACTGAATTTAGAATTGATAAAATCAAGCACACCAACTTCAAAATGTTGTGTAGTTACACGCTCCAGCCCATGGGAAAAGAAAACACTGAATTAGTGACGTGCAATGGAACTGTCAGGCTTCAAACCTGAAAACAAATCCATGAAAACTGCACCCATCCTGATAATTTCCTTGTGGTTATCACTATTCTGTGTTTGGCTGCACCCCTGCACTTGAGTTCTGCCTAAAAATCAGTCAAAATCTATATATTTCAGCAAGGTTAGGCTTTAGTATAAAGGCTATTCAATGGACTTTTACAGAAGAAAAACAGAGAAATTTTTTAACAACACACCCATCAGTGAATGTTGTGCCAAAATTTCAGCAATTAAAACTACTTTTCCAAACAAGCTCTGGATGTCTGACACACAATCTAACTGAAACTAAATTAAGCACCAGATTAACACCCTAAAGCGATTTCTACGAGGTTAGAGCAGATTAGCAAGAAGGAGGATCAAAACTATTTTAAGTTTGAACCTTCCAGTCTCAGTATATGTTAGCTCTACCAATATTCTCATCCATCCACGTATTCCAGTTATGGAAATCCAAGTGTAAGGGAAACACAAACCCAAAATCTGGACATGACCCCAAAACTCCAATTTGTTTTTACACAATGAGACCCCTCAGACCTCACTAGTGTTGTAAGAGGCCTTCAATTAAACATGAATATAATTTAGTACTGTCTAATTATGTCTATGTCTCTATGTCGATACATCTCTATCTAAAAGATATATCTATATCTAAAAAAATTACCTTGCATAGTCACTTTTCTGCTGCATTTTTAACATCAGCTTAAAAATCAAGAGAAAATAACTAACAAAGACAAGCTACAAAATCTTAAAAATGTAGTAAAATAGTATTATTAATTATGTGTATATTCAAAGTCTTGTTACCCCCATTTCCATTGCTCAGAGCAAGAACAGTAGGTGGTCCAGGAAGTTCTACTTCATACAGCAAATCAGATCCCTGAAGACAAAGAAAACAATCTTCAATTAATTTGTTAAAAAACCCCAAAAAGCCACAACCAAGACAACAACAAAAAAACCAACAAAAAAACCAACAATCCCAAAACACCAGCCACATATTGAAGCAAAGCCTCACAATGACAAAATTATTATGGATCGTACTAAAAGGCAAGATTTACTTATTCAAACTCCTACGGGAAAACCATTTCTAAGCCAAAAACAGGGTGAAGTCTGTAGAAATAAAACACAGTACTCTTGAAATGTTATTATCATTAAAAATGATCCAGGAACTCATCTGATAATTTAATTTGTTAAACCACTTAGTATCACTCAAGACTTGTTGCAACAGTAATTGATCAGAGCAAGAATTCCCAAAGTGATAAAGACTTTAGGAAATTAAATGTGTAGGTGAGCACTTTTAGTTAGAAGGGACCAATTTGTCATCAATTTCCACCTAGGAATTCCAAAGCCTGTTTATAGTGGTTTCGTTAATCCTCATTTTTTACAAATTTATGGTAATGATTTTCCTTTACAAAAACCAGCAGAAAGGGAATGCACCAGCAGCAGCACTGCTAAGTAAGGCACAACACACTGACCCTTATGATGTTTAAGCCATGCTGATATGTATTCCCTTAATAATTAGTCCAATTCCATAGCATCCATATATAAAACAAAAAGAAGGAGGCATTTTAACCTGTAACACCCTGAGCACTCTGTCCTGACACGCAAGCACCGGTGTGATGCAGTTAACTTTGTCTACAGGAAGGCAGAGGACATCGTTGATTTTATCTCCTGATAGGAAGTAGTGCTGGTCCTTGCAGTCACAGTAATGGTTATAGATGTAGCTGGCACAGAGAAAGAGATCTGCTCCTGAGATGTACCTGAGGAGAAGAAAACACTTCCTGTAGCATCTTGCCACAAGAGTCCTTTTTACTTTTATGCTTTACAATGCTCACAGTGCCAAGGTATTATGGGCCCTGCAAGCTGTTCCACCTTTTAGAGTTCCTTATAAATACTAAAACCACGTGGTTTCTACAGCTCTCACATTTCCACTCTGTCTTCAGGTAAATCCCTAAGAATATCTTAATAGAAATTTCATTATTATTATATTTTTTATGCTGATTTGTCTATGGCAACATCTTACAATACAATGCAAAAAACATTTTGCTCCAGGAGCTGTGTGGACAGGACACACTGTGGCAATAACCCCAGCTCTGCACACACAGATTTTGCACGGCTGTGAGTATCTCCAGACCACTCCAAATTCCTCCCACACTTCCAAGACTTCTCCATGATATTCCAAATTCCTCCTACAGGTTGCAGCACAAGCTGAAGCTGGACTGGCACTTAGTGCCACCTACACAATATGCTTAAAATTATTGCATAAAATCATAAAGTAACAATCTGCTACAGCTCTCAAAAAATGCAAAGTATCATACATACATAGCTTTGATGCTTTCAGTAAGGTTAGTTTCAAAGGAAAGAAACTGCTTCCCTCTTTTTGTGAAACCTCTGACTTCAGATCCTACAGCCACAAAAATTTTCTCTTGTGGTGTATTAAGAGCTCCTCCCAGCTCCAGTCTGGAGATCCTTTGTCCTGGTAGTGTCTTGAACACTGGCTGTCAACAGAAAAGCAATTTTCATCATCACAATATCATATTTATCACAATCTTTTAACATAAACAGTAAGAAATTTACTTTACAATTTACTGGCAAAACTAAGATGCAATGGGTTGTACACAGATAAAAATAATCTGTATATTTATCTTCAGAATCACAGAGCAACCAAGCATTTTATCAGGAAATAAACACAATAAGCTTTAAAACATAATAAATTAAAACTTTGTTACTTCATTGTTATTAATTCATCCATAGGAAGAATTCAGCACTGGTGTCAGCTAGTTTGTGGTCTGTGTTTTATTTTAAAGAACAACACACACGCACTCCCTCCCTCTCACATGCTACATTCTTATTCCAGAAGTCTACTTTGATTTATTTGTACTGTTATAGAATACTTATGAGCTAACCATGAACTTCCTGGAGAAGAAAACGGTGAAAGAAAATAATTTTTTACTGAGCTGGGCATAAAAAGCAATCAATTTGGCCAAATCCCTAAGGTGATTTAATGAATCCCTGCAGGTTTTTGTCCCATTACAATAACTGTATATGTGCCCAGGCTTAAGCCCAACTTACCTGAAGTGCAAAATGTGTGGAAGTTACTTTTTTTCTTCACATTAATTTTTGACTACAGCTATGGAGAATTCTGTGCTTGACCAGGCATGAGATCAGCATGACCTCACCACAGTTAGGCATCAGTCCACAGCTCTACCTAGACACCTTCCACTGGCATCTTATTGCCACATCAATAAAAAATGGACTTTCAAAGTTCACTGGGAAAAATATTCCAAAAATAAAATTTTAAATGGAACATTTCCACTTACCACAGCTTCACCCTTTTTTATGCCAAAACATGTAACGACCCCATCCTGATCTCCAACAACCACCTTCAAAAGTATAACACATGGTTATTTTTTATTACACACAAAACTGTGGTTTTACATAATGCTCTTCCTGTATTCATAGAATCACAGAATGGTTTGGGTTGGAAGGGACCTTAAAGATCCCTTGCTATGGACAGGGACACCTTCCACTACCCCAGGTTGCTCAAGCTCCATCCAACCTGACCTTGAACTCTTCCAGGGATGGGGCAGTCACAGCTTCTCTGGGTAACCAGTGCCAGTACTTCACCACTCTCACAGGGAAAAATTTTCCCTAATATTTAATCTAAACCTCCTCTCTTGTCAGTTTTTGCCACTGCCCCTTGTCTGGTGACTACATGCTATTGGGAATAGTTTCTCTATTACAAAATTAATGATATTTTCATATATTTAAGGACTCAAAATTCTAGAGACCAAAATTACATATGGGAGTACACTTTAAAGATCCATATAAAATGCTATAGATAGGATGTTGAACAGCAGTTCAAGTACAGGACTTAGAATCCTTTTCCTGCTTCTACTTGCAAATGTCAGCAACCATGAGGCAAAGACATATTTGGGAAAAGTTGTGTTTTCACACTAAGACTTCATAACTGAAGGAAAAAAAATGCAGCTATTTTTATTGAGCTTCCCTAACAAGGTATCCTTAATTAAATTAAGAAATACTTAATTATTCTATAGAATTATTAAGGTTGGAAAAAACTTTTAAGATCATCAAGTTCAAGCATCAAGTTGTCATTATTACTGTAACCCCTAAACCATGGCACTCAGTGCCAGCCAGATCCTCTTCAACACCTCCAGGGATGGTGACTCCACCAGCTCCCCGAGCAGCCTATTCCAATGCCTGACCATTCTAACAGTAAAATATTTTTTAATATCTAATCTAAATCTCCCTTGTCTCAGCTTCAGGCCATTTCCTCTCATCTTAAGTGTCAGTAAAACCAAAATAGAGAAATATGGAAGAACTCCCTTGTGGTTTCAGCAATGCCGTAAACTAGAAAAATTCCTTCCCCGTTCTGAAGTTTTCCAATTACAAATTCAGATATTTTTTCTATTTTTTTTTCCAAGAAAAGGTTTTCCAAACCCCCAAAATGGGGTTGCACAGGCTTTCTGTGTGACGTCCTACATCTAAGGAAACTCTGGAGATGATTAACGCTAGGATGAGGCATAGGACAGGAGAGGCAGCGAAGCACCAGCCGCTCGGTACCTTCTGCGTGGCCTTCTTCCCGGAGGCGGGCAGCAGCCTCATCGTCTTCTGCGCAGTGACTCCCACCTGTGGATGCAAGAGACGCTCCAGAGCGGGGCCCGGAGCGCCGGGACGCGCCTCGGGCCTCTCGCAGGCCCCGCCGCCCGGCCTCCCCTCGGCCTCGGGCGGGCCGTGCCGCCTCGTCGCGCTGCCGGGGCGCTGCCGTGCCCACCTGCAGGTAATCCACGCGTGCCAGGCTCGGCTCCATCGCTGCCGCGGGACGCGCGTCCCTCCCGCGGGCACTGCGCGCCCGCCGCCCGTCACCGCGGCAACCTCCGCGCGGGGCGCGCCTCCCATTGGCTGGGCAACAGGGCGGGGGGCGGGGCCTCTGCCAGACGGGCGCTGCGATTGGCTGGAAGGCGCCGGGGCGGGGCGAGGGGCGGGCAGAGCCGGGAGCGCCCCGGGGCGGCTCCCGCGGGAACGACCCCCAGGGGCATCCCGGGCACGGTGCCGAACCGTACGAGAGGAATGGTTTGTTTAATAACGAAACCAAAAATACCTGCCCTGCACGGAGTCTGAGTTTAAAAAAAAAAGAAAAAAAATCCTTACTCCCCGCAGTGTAAATACACTGAATTAAGAAAGGGTCGGTGCGGGTACGTGTATACACAGACATGTTAAATAGCGCTGCTGCCATTACATTCCCACTTACCTGGTTCTCAGCAATTCCTTGTGGTCATAACCATGAGTTCTGGGCTTACACGCGTTACTAGCACCACTAATAAAGAACAACGATTTCAAGTAATCCTCCACTCATCTCTAGTTGGTTTATTGTAGTATGAAAAATCCTATTTTGTACCTGGACACTGCAAGGAACAGAGTGTAACACTGTATCTGTTAATTTTTTGTCTTGCAAATTCAGTGCAAAGAATTCTCCATATGTACTCATAAACCTGTTAAAATATCAGCAACTGATACCATTATACCTTTTTAATGCATAAATGCAAAAAAAAAAAAAAAGTTAGTATAGTTCTTGCTTTTAGACAATTAAAATGAAGAGAGCAATCTTTTTTGTGGTGAGTTAATAAAAGTTCCTAAGACTAAATTCCAGAGAAGCTGTACATAAAGTTATTTAATGCTAAAAATCTACAATACATTTTTTTTTTCAAGTATAAGATACTGAAATATTATTGCCAATAAATAGTTGTGCTGTAGTCGAAGCCACGGTTCCTTTGTTGAGTCATTCACATCTCAGCATATTAGGATTTAGTTTCTCACTGAGTTTATGTATTAAAATTGCCAACTCTTCTGTTGCTTGGGACTTATCCTCCAACAGTTCATAGCGAAGACTGGAGATGTCCTGTTTGATTTCCTTTAATTCACCTGCATTAATAATGAAAATAAACACTTTTTAGCAAAGCTTAACATTCAGCTAAAGCACATCAGTGCCTATTTCAGATTATCATCCCAAAATGTTCATGAGAGCAGGTACAGGATGGGTCAGGAGGATTTACCTCGTCTACATTCTCAGTGAGATGTGTCTCCAGCCCTAAATAGCACCAAAGGAATTTTAACAGTCCACTGGGGTCTTGCATTGTGCTCCACGTATATACACAACACCAAAGATTCCCAAAGGGCTGTACAAAGGTTAATGAATTAATCACACCAACACTGCTGAACAGCTGGTAAATATTAGTATCCCCTTTTTAGAGAGAAAAGGAAAAGAGATTTTTTTTCTGAAGGGGTGTGCCAAAATCACAAGGAAAAAGTGTGGCAGAGCTGGTAGTAAAACTCACAGCTTTTGAGTCTCTCCTCTTCCTTACCAACATCCTTGGAATTAGAAAAAGTCAACCAATTTAACATGATGTTATAATTTGACACAAATACAAAAAACACATTTAAACAAAGACATCTGTCAAGGCCAGGCTCATAATAAGCAGCAGCATGTGTTCCCTTGTAGGGATATTCAGTTCGAGAGCAAAAGCTTTTAAAAATGTTCTTCCAGCAAGTATGAGGGATGTGAATTCTTACACAGTATCTGCCTAGGGAAATGATTTGTCATGTACGAAAGAAAAGAGTATGATGAGACACCTGCATTCTCTAGTGATGCAGAACAGGGAAAATATCTAGACTTTTTGTTAAAGTAGTTGTAGTACATAGAAATGCCAGTGTTTTCTGTTTAGCGTATAGCAGACTTCAAGAATTGCATCTTCAGAGGCTGGGTCTGTGCTTTGGGTACCAATGAGGTGCTCACAACACAGAACACTTGGCTGTGCAGATGAAGAGTGAAACTCAAGAATTCAAGGGTTACTTGCCCTGCTCAAAGTGGACTTTCCTCTACAACACCTGATGCCAAAGCCATAACCATGATGTCAGTAAACTCTGATTCTTCTGCACTGTCTTTCTAATTTTAACACATCTCTGCCAACACCAAAGTGGCATCACGGATCTGGAAAGGGCTGGCGCTGCTGGTGATAGAATAGTCTTTTCATCAGTCACTAGGCAAATGATTTCCTACATCACAGAGCAGGAACAGGAGGAAAGCAGTGGGAATTCAGGAGAGCTGCACACTGAGAGGATTAACTTTCAGGAGCCTTTCTGCTTTTGTCTGACAATCACAGCTCTGTACAGCCACAGAGGATGGGGAAGTGTCAGGATAACAGTCAGTGCACAATGCTGCCTTTTGAAGGCACTGAGGGGGATTTAATTTAACTCTTTTTGCTCCCTGCTTCTTGCTGAAGAGAGTTATAGGTAAGCAGGGAACAACTAAGGAGCAAAACAGAAGCTTTGCTGCCTTAGCTGAGAGCTGAGCAGCACTTTCAGGCCCCTTACATCACACATGCACGCGGCTGCCTGACGCTGCCATGCCAGTAAAACATCTTCAGTCCATCCTTGCATCATTCTATTGCTTGATAACATTCTAGCTAGAGTTTTTGTTTGGGGATCTGCCGGAGCACAGGAGTTTGCTTGTTGGACTGCAGGCCTGTGTTTCATTCCTGGAAGGTTGAAGGGAGGAGGACAACCTTTGCCATAATCTCATCCCAGTGGTGAGTTAGGATGTGCAACTGGAGCAAGCACCTCTCACATCTGCCAGGGAGCCCAGATCCACTCTTTCTCAAAAGATCTCCCACTAAAATAGAGGTTACATTTGTCATTTTTTATCACCATACAGCTGACTGTGGAGCTTTGTTTAATGATGGGCAGCTTCACAGGTAATTATTCCTCACAGCTTTATGAAGGAAAGGAGGACAAATAGTTCACAGTGTAAAGTGCTAAATTGTGTATAATTGTGTGCTCAGTTGAATGAAATAGAGAGGAAGATCCTGCAGCTTTGATTAGGACTCTGGAAGTGTGAATACAGTTAATGGCTCCTTCACAGATTTCCTCTGTGCATTATGTCTGTGCCCTCATTTTCTGTCTGTAAAATGGGGCCCATTTTACAGACAATATTTCTCAGTTCTTCTTTAGTCCTACTTTTCCATTTCTTTGATGACATGGGCATACTTTCCATTACTATCTGAGCCTCAGTGCATGTGAAATAGAAACAATCCCTCTTTTCACTCAAAACCCCCGTGCATCACTGTAATACTGGTTCTTAATACAACATGAATAAAATTACTTCTGAATATTGCAGTCTCTTTCTTACCTTCATTGACTTCATCATTTTCTTTGTCCACTTGTGCTTTCAGAACGTAACGTTTTATCAGTCTCTTCATTATTTGCTGCCGGATTAAAACAGTTATATAATCAAGTGAGATTATATAATTAAACATTGTTCATTTTTCTTTCTTAGCTCTCTCTGTCACATCTGCCTAAGAATGAACAGTCCCAGATGAAGTACTTGCCTGAAATGGGCTTTTCTGGGGGCATGCTGAGAAAGGAAGGGAAGAGCCAACCTAGTCAGCTTTCACATCCCTTACCCAGAAACCCATTTCAGATATTCCTTCACCAGTTTCAGATGTCTGCTCCTCACATTTTCCCAAGGGGGACATCAAGGACCAATTTTAAGTACTGCATGAGCTAGTTTTGAAATGCTTCAGATTATGAGCTTGGACAAAAACTGGGGTTTATTTTTCAAGGAGCATCCTAGAGTTTGATTTCTACAGGAGGTTTTCTTTCTCTGGTGAAGGCAAAATGCACTTGAAACACAAAATTCTGCTAGAACCTTCTCACTGTTCTATTGCTCAGGACAGTGATCACTGTATGTACTTACCTGATAGCGTGTTGGCTGATTGAGAATGCTGTTAAAACTGTGGGATTCAAAAACTCTGGAGTTCGACTGAGTGAAAAGGTTTAACTAGGAAGAAATGAGACAAAATTAAAATAAATTATGGAATTCACAGTTAGGATTCAGCTCCATTATTATTTATCTTTAGACATGTTGGGGATCTTTCCATCTTTTACTATATCAGAGTATTATTTTTTTAAAAAATGAGATTGCCTTGAATTCTATGTTGGCTTTATTTTGTTTGTTTTTTTTTAATGCTGATAATTTTAGCCATCCTGTTCTGTGGAAATAGGCTTACAGCATCTTTTATCAATATTCAAGGGAATATCAATATTTCAATATCAATTATTTGCATCTTTGAACACTCATCAATTTTTGTTTTAATTGTGTTTCCCCAGATTTGGTTGTTCTAACAAAATTTAAATTTTTAAATAATTTATTGTTTTATGCACTATGTTTAGGCAGTCTGAAATAGAGACTTATTGCTATAAATGATTAATTACTCTATTATCATTAGAATAATGGATTATAGGCTAAAACTAAAAAGAAAAGAAGACCTCTGGAATAGACACAAATTATCACACAATCCCTGCAATGAAAGGATTTCAGAACCTACCCTTGATTTGGAGTTGCCCATTCCCATTTCAATGTCCTTCTGTAGCCGTCTCCTCCTGCACTTAGAAAAGTTAATGATCCTCATGATGAAATAGAAGAAAGATTTGGGGCTTGGTACAAGACTGAAGGGTGGAGGTAATGTTTTTCCATCATCAAAATATGACAGCCAAAGTTTAGAACGAGCAAACTTCCACTCTACATCACTGTCATCCTGTGTTAGAAAATAAAAGAGATGATACTCTTGGTTTTTATGAAATGCAAAGCTTCTTTCAAATGAAACTGCTTTGAAATATCTTTATGGTTTTAGATAAAACATTATATTCTTGCTAGTAAGACTTCCAGCAGTTCTGCAGAAATGCAACCACTTTACTTAGTAAAGTAGTAGTACTTATTCTAACCAAATTTCAGTTGTCTCTTTATGGCAACATTTCATTGAGAATACTTAGTTCAGGCACATGAAGCATTTAAGCAAGCATAATTTTTGCATCAAGTGAAAGCCAACA